GTAATATAAAAGAATGTATAGGAGTTTGATGAACACATGCTTGACGTGCTAGAAGAGGATTGTTTTAGCTCACTGATTATTCTCGAAATGCAGGTGATGTCATTCTCTTCATTGATGAAGTTCATATACTTGTTCAGGCAGGAACAGTTGGGAGAGGAAATAAAGGATCTGGCCTTGACATAGCAAATTTACTCAAACCTGCACTTGGAAGGGGTCAATTTCAGGTGATTATTAGTTAATTCTATTCTGAGTGACTCCTGAAGATAAACACGTTTTCTGTTTGAGGGCTGGTGTAGTGTAAACAATTACCAATAACGTATAAGATTAAGGTTGGATATCAAAGTATATGGTTAGTACTTACTAACTACACATTTACAGGTGTCTGATACAACCCTTTCAAAGTAATTTTACTGAATAAGCTTATCAATTTACATTTGGAAACTGCAATTCAAGGTTGAGATTATTAAGAAAGACGTCTTGATGAAAATTTGGGAGGTTATCATAGTTGTTAGACTAGGGATCATATCATATGTTCTCTTGAATGAATGGCCATGAAGTTCACCTGGAGCTGCAAGAAATATGAATCATAAGAGTGAAGTTGTTAAAGTTCTCGCTTTTCAGTAAATTATGGAGTCAAAAGGGTATATGTATAGATAATTTCTTTTATTAACAGGGCAACCTGTTACTGAAATGAGGGAAAAAGTTGTATGTTTAATGAGGCTTGAGTCTCTCCCTCTGTTTCTCTAATTTCCATCTAACTGGGTCCTGATAGTTTTTATCTTAGATGCACTAAGGATTGGATAATATGAACCTCTTTTAGGAGAGATTTGTACCAAGTGTAATGAACTAGAAGAAGGTAATAGGGATGGCAGCGTGCAATGCATGGACAAGGCTGGTTGATTAGATTTTACAATTCAACTCATTCATAAAGTCATGCGATAGCCAAGCATTTTTTTTATCTAACTTTATGATTTATGAAACCTTTCTGATCACTAGTGTGCACTTGAGGGAACCGTTAGAAAGGTTCTAATCATCAAGTTAATATAATTTGTAAGGATCACAATTCAACCCGGAACTTGTGACTTTTCCAGCCACCTTTAGTCAAAACTATGGTAGCTAACTATGTAATTACCAGAAATAATTATATTCAATAATGCTAAGACAATGTTGGGTGCTACTACTTGGTTGATAAGCTCTAGTACTGAATAACCTAACTTTTGTTAATGGTTTTGTTCTGTTGGGATTGTCAATTTTCCTTTTTCCTGGGATGCGATACATGGTGTGAAGTTCTGAATTCTCTTTGGGTGAAAGAACTATGAAGAGAAAATAGCTCTGACCGCTGATGAATTTTCCTTTGTAGTTTATCAATTTTGTATGTGCTCCAAAGTTGTTATTTCTTATAAGATGGGATAGTCTTTTTTTGTTCTTAATCAAGAGTTATATTACAATAGATATGCACACCATAGCTTTTCTGCTACTCATAGCATGATAACTTTGTCTTCTATGCAGTGTATTGCCTCAACCACCATAGATGAATACAGACTTTATTTTGAAAAAGATACTGCGTTGGCTCGACGGTTTCAACCTGTTTGGGTTGATGAACCGAGTAAGGTTGTACTCCATATTTATGCCTATATCATTATGCCCTGAATTTTAATCAGAATTTCTTTTCTTATTAGACTACATATTTCAATATATAGGATGATGCAATTAAGATCCTTACGGGAATACGTGAGAAATATGAGGCATATCACAAATGCAGATACACAGCCGATGCTATAAAGGCTGCAGTTGATTTGTCAGCAAGATACATAATTGATAGGTATCTGCCTGATAAAGCTATTGACCTCATAGATGAAGCAGGAAGCAGGGCTCGTATTGTAGCCTTTAAGAAGAAAAAGGAACAAGAAACTGGCATTCTTTCTAAGTTGCCAGCTGATTACTGGCAAGAAATCAGAGCAGTCAAGTCCATGCATGAAATGGTAATGACATTGCATCCAGTATTTACCTGTTACCTGTATCAGTTGCTTTTACAGTTTTAATTTAAGCTGACATATCTTTCTCACTGGTTCAGGAGAGCAAGCTTAAATACTATGGCGCTTCCAACATTGACGAAAACAATGAACTCATACTGGATTCATATTTATCTTCTACAACCACGGATGATGAGTATGTTACTTGACCTCATAATGAGAGGGCATTCTTTTATGTGTGCCTAGTTTTGATTTCTGAGTGGCTAACACGTTTTGTTTTGTCTTTAGACCAATAGTAGTTGGGCCAGAAGATATAGCAGCAGTTGCTTCCCTCTGGTCAGGAATTCCTGTGCAGAAGCTCACGGCTGATCAAAGAATTCTTCTGTTAGACCTTGATAATCAACTTCGCAAACGTGTTATTGGACAAGAGGAGGCTGTTGCTGCCATTTCCAGAGCTGTGAAGAGATCCCGGGTTGGCCTCAAGGATCCTGATAGACCAATAGCTGCCATGTTATTCTGTGGTCCTACTGGGGTTGGGAAAACAGAACTTGCAAAATCTTTGGCTGCGTGTTACTTTGGATCGGTAAGACATTACAAAGTATATGTTAAAGAATAATAACTAGTGAAGATTATTTTGTTCTTTCTAATGATCTGAAGTGATTAGGTTACCACTTACTGTTCATCTTTTAATAATTAGCCTTTCATGTAAATTGTTTCAGGAGGCAGCTATGGTACGATTAGATATGAGTGAATACATGGAGCGGCATACAGTGAGCAAATTGATCGGATCGCCCCCAGGTTATGTTGGTTATGGAGAGGGTGGCGTTCTAACAGAAGCTATTAGAAGAAAACCTTTTACCGTGTTATTGCTTGATGAAATAGAGAAAGCTCATCCAGATATTTTCAACATTCTTCTTCAAATTTTGGAAGATGGTCAACTTACTGATTCTCAGGTTTGTGAATGTGGATCTGAACCGTAATCTACTAGGATTGTCAACAGGATTTCTGATGCAGACAGAACCTTTTTCCTTGAATTTTAGTTCTTCCTTTTCTGCTTCTTTTCCTATTAAAAGTACGCTTTTGTATCAATCTAATGTGAAGTTTGTAAAACTGGCTCAAACAGGGTCGCAGAGTTTCATTTAAAAATGCATTGGTGGTAATGACTTCAAATGTGGGGTCTAGTGCAATTGCTAAGGGTCAACACAACTCCATAGGTTTCTTGATTCCTGATGATAAAACAACGTCATACAATGGCTTGAAATCGATGGTAATTGAAGAACTAAGGACATATTTTCGTCCAGAATTGCTCAACAGGATAGATGAAGTGGTAGTGTTTCAATCCCTTGAGAAGTCACAGGTTCGTGAAGTTTTGGTTGTGATTTTTATTGCGCATTGATGGTAGTAGTCACTTGGTAGGATCTTGGTATCATATTCATTCGTAATTTTGATTTTCTCTACACAAACCAACTGTTCAAACACCCCAAGCATTTTATTCTCTCTGCGCTTGAGAAACTAAAGGATGACTTAACAAATCTAGGCTATAACTAGAGGGTCGTTTTATAATGAATAGTTTTGCTACATTTCAAAACGTTTTGAAACTTTAAGGACTAATCCTGGATGTTTTTGCTGTTGTTACAGTTACTGAAGATATTGGATTTGCTTCTTGAAGACATGAAGAAAAGGGTGTTGTCCCTAGGACTCCATGTTAAGGTGTCTGAAGCGATGAAGAACCTAGTGTGCCAGCAAGGCTATAACCCAACATATGGTGCTAGGCCTCTGAGAAGGGCCATTACATCACTGATAGAAGATCCATTGAGTGAGGCATTTCTTTTCGGAGAGTGCAAGCCAGGTGACACTGTCCTCGTTGATTTGGATGCTAATGGTTACCCCTTTGTTACAAATCAGCTTGATAAGATTGTCAACTTATCTGACTGACACAACCCATGCCTGTAATTAATTACTGTACAGAAGCAATAGTATATGATAGGTATACATACATATACACATAATATGACAACTGTTTTGTCTCTTTGGTAGCATAGCTATTTGATTCTTATGAATGAGCAAGCACACCACATCAACCAACGAGCTTCTTCATAGCTCATCAGATGTCGGATTTACTAAATGTGGCAACACATTATTCCATGTAAAACTTTTGTCCACAAACATTCTATTCAAATTATATTCATTTATAAAAACCAACCATATACATGCTATAGTTCAACAACTTCGTTTGAATGTTGTCCAAAGGTATTTTGTATAATTTGTTTTTTATGTGGTATAATTTCTGTTTGCATGATGAAAATTTTACTGAATTTTATCATTCGATGTATTATCTTGATAATTTTTATATTTGTAACCACAATATTAAATTTAAACTATTAAACTGAATATGTACACATCCCAATAAACTACGAGCACAAAAAAATGGATAAATTTTAGTTTTTTGAATTTCTATTCACAATTCTAATATTTGTTTTGTAATTTTAACCCTCTTAATTTTTATCTAATTTAGAATTTTACATTTTAATTAATTAAAATATTTTTTAATTATACCTTTCAATATATAGTGGGCATATGTTCCAATTATACCAAAATGGAGATAAAAAATGTATGAACATTTGAGTATTGAAATAAGTTACATTTTTGCTAGAATTTGAAATAAAATAGAAAAGAAAGACTAAAATCACATTACAAATTAAGGATTTTGAAAATTACAATTTTATAAACAAAATTTGACCTTTTTTCAGACTTTCTCTCGGTCCCTATTCTTTGGCATCGTTATACGTTAATTCTCTAATTTTAAAATATGTAAACATAATTATTTTATATTTAAATTTCAGAGAATTTTTACCATTATAAAATAAAAAAGACACATTTTAAATTTTTTGAATATTCATTCATCAATGGTAAAAGATGGGAATGAAAATAATGTTCCTCTAAAAATAAAGCATTAAAACCATATTTTTTCTAAAAAATAAAATAAATTAATTCTTTCTACTTATGGGCCCGTTGCGAGTAGATGCATAGGCCCATCCTTGTATAACTACACACCTTCCTTCTACTGGATCACGTATCCACGTGATTGCGGAACTGCGGTGCTACCGGAGACTGGAATCAATTTTTCTCTTCGGCGCAAATCCTAGGGTTTTGCTTTTCATTCTCAGCCCATTTCCACGCCATGGCCACTACTGAGAGCCTAACAAATGGACTACCTTCTCTGCCACCGGAAAACGAAAACGATGCCGGAGACAAATTGGCGAATTCGGTGAACCAACTCAACAACCTCTCCATTGCCATACAAACCTTCAAAAGCAGGTACGACGAACTGCAGAGGCATTTTAATTTCATCAAACAGGCCATCGACGCAAGGACGAAGGAACTCCAATCGTCAGGGTCCGACGCCTCGCCAAATGCGAAAGAAACAACCGAAGCCATCGTCTCTCAACCAGGGACTGGTAAAACAGATTCCAATCCGAAGCCAAAACCTAAGGCGGAAGAGGAAGAGAAAGAAAAAGTAAAAGAAGAAGACAAGGAAGAGGACGAGCTTCTTTCGCTTTGCAAAACGATGAATAGCCGAGGCCTGCGTAAATACGTGCTATCGCGTTTATCCGAGACGCCGTCTCTTCGGGAACAGGTTCCCGTTGCGCTGAAGAGTTCGCCGAAGCCTTCAAAGCTCGTGTTTGAATGCATTGGGAGGTTTTTCCTTCAGGGAAGCAAAGCGTACACGAAGGACTCGCCGATGATTCCAGCAAGGCAGGTTTCGGTTCTGGTTTTAGAATACTATTTGCTCTCTGGATGTGTTGGTAACGAGGAGGAAGTGGAGGCTTCGCTGAAGAAAGAGGCCGATTCGGCCGCGGTTGCGTGGAGGAAGAGGCTCATTGTTGAAGGGGGTTTGTCGAAGGCCTCTGAGATTGATGCCAGGGGTCTGATTCTCTTCGTTGCTGGCTTTGGGATTCCTGCTGTTTTCAGGGATGAGGATATATGCAGCTTAGTGTGTGTTAGCAATCATAGAGAAATCTTCGATGCCCTGCGCCAGTCTCAGCTCTTGCTTAAGAGGGTTTCAGGTATGCATTTATATGTGTTGTGTGCTTTTGTGAATGCAGTAATCATAGTGATAGTCTGATGAATATGAATAAGATATTGTGCTGTACATCTTTGTTTATAAAATTTGAAAGTTTGGACAATGCTAAAAAATGGAATGAATTTGTTTCCATCATAGTAGCTATGGTTTTCATTAGGGTTTAAATTGTCAACAAGCGAGGTGATGCCTTGATTACATGTCAGATCAGAATACTGAATGAAAGTAAATTGTTTTTTTTTGCCTAAACATGAGTGGCGAGGTAAGGTAAATGGAATCTATAGCTAAAGTAGCTTTAGCTTCTTCCATTTAATGAGACTCAAAGGTGAGATTTTTTATAGACAATGCGAGACTGTTTGGTGACAAAATACTACTGCCCAAAGACTAATGTCATCAGGTTTGGAACGAGCCTGGAGAGAAATTCTGTGAAGAAATTTCGCTATTCAATTTTGTCATGCTGTCGACTCATTGACCATTCCTGGGACGTTTAATGTTTGCATAGCACGTCATGTATAAATTTTCCCTTTTTCGGACATAAATATTTTATGAATGCTACGTTAATAAATATGAACGCTTATGCTGTTTGGGGCTTTGGAATGTAGTTTATGGCCTAATATAAGATTTTACAGTAGTAAGACTGAAATATATCTCAACTTTGCTTGTGACAACTACGTTTTTGCTGCATTATTCTCTTCTAATATTATCTTTTCTATGTATTTACTACTGCAACCCACCCTATATGTGTAATAAGTAAGTTACTAAGAACATTTGTACTACCAGTGATCATCACGGTGTTGGATGCTGACTTTTTGTGTCACGGATTTTGCAATCTTTTTAAGTTAATATTTGTATTAGCTTTGTATTTTCGCAAAAATAAACATCTCCTGAATATTATCAACTGCATATTTCTCTCACATTTTCTTTTCTATTTTTCTTCTGATAGTAAAAGAAAATCATCGCCCGAACTACTAACTATGATCTTAGACTTCGGCATGGAATTTCTGTTGTTTAGAATACCTGGGAGTCTGAGACATTGGTCTGTTGAATGGTGGAAAATAATTTGCGACTCACTGACACTCCACCCCATGACACCTTTTCTTGCATCATAAAATTGTACTTTAAAAAATTGTGAACACCTTACCAATCATCTATTGAAAATGAGCATACCCTTCAATTTCATTGCCCTCCTAACTGTCCTCCTCTTCCTCAATCAGGCATGTTGGCCTTAATGATTATGATGAATATGTTGTTACTTTCTTCTCTGAAAAGGTTTTTCTCATTTTTCATTTATTGGCGCAGATATTGCAGATGGGATGATAAGAAAAGGCATGGTTGTTAAAGCTGTTGATTTGGCTTATACCTTTGGGCTTGAAGAGAAATATTCTCCTCAGACAGCTCTGACTACATTTCTACAGAAGTCTGAAGAAACTTGGAAGAAATCCAAACAAGAAGCAAATGATTTTCCTAGTGTGCTGGTATGTTTTAGCTGGTTTCCAATATTTATTATATTGAGTGTTTTTTTTTTCATATGAATATTATCATTATTGACACATGTTGATATTTTACAGAAGCAAGCACATGAAAAATATTTAGCTGCTTTGAAATCTGTAGTGAACTGTTTGGAAGACCACAATATTGACTTTGTAAAACTTCTTCCTGGGTGGGAAATTAAGGATGAAATTATCAACTTGGAGAAAGATATTAGTGATACCAATATAAAAATTGAAGAGAAGTCAATGGTCAAGAGAAAAGTAGATAAAAACAACTCATCTAACAAAATGAAGGTTCCAGAGGCTAAACGAACAAGGTTTGCTGGAAGAGATGCGTCTGTGCTATCACCCTCACTTGCGGCCTTGCACGAGCAAAGGATTGTTAATCGTATGGATGGCAATAGCTCGTATGAGGGTTCATTGGCAGCCCATTTGCTGGACGGTAGATCATATGGCGGTTACCCAAATAGTTATCTCAGTGCAGCATCCATACAACTTGGATCTGTTTCGGATTCCTTGGCCGAAAAATATCTTGGAACTACAGTTGCAAGTGGGGCTATTATGCTTGGAGGAGGTATGGGTGGTTCATATTCTGGGTATCAGGGGGATATGATAAGAGATAATGTTGGGACAGTGCTAAACAGCAACAGCTATAGATGGCATGGAGTTGGGGAAGGGGCATCATTGTCTCATGATAGGTCAGTTGGGCAGAGTTTTGTGGGGCAATCTACAGCACTAGTAAATAACTTGTATGGGAAAACATCTCCAGAATTTGCAGGAGTTCCAGAGCATCTCTCTATCGGTGCTTCTAGTCGCACTGGAGGTTCTGATTTGTATAGCTTCGCTGATGGTGTTTTCGATTCATAGTCATTCCTGGGTAGTAGAGTTCTCCAAATTACTGTTCTGATCATGCTCTACAAATTTTCATCTGCCCATGGAAATGCGGAATTGTATGATGTTAATTTTGTTCACAACTTACATCTAGCGTTTATAGTGATAGCCATAGGATTCAATATCAGGGTGGCGTAGCTACCATATTTGTTTATTTTGAAAGTTATTTTACTGAGCCCTCACCTTCCTAAGAATATCTTCGTTGCGAGGGGGCCTTGTACAGTTCTTATTATTTGTATAACTCCCGAAAACGGCTCAGTCAGGCCGTATGGTTTACTCTTTCAAGTATTCAAAATTGACTAAATGGGAGGTAAAAGTCTTCGAATTCATTTTATTTTCTTATTAACGATAAATGGCTTTACAGAATTTAAATCCAAATTCAAGTATGTGCTGGGGCAGGAAACTAACTCCAATCTTCTAATTTAGGTTAGATGATGATTTAATTTTCTAGCTTTTTATTTGATTTGGTTCCCTAATTTTTTATTCTGTAGTATGTTTGTTTTTCTATTAAAATGGTGTTAAATTGTATTTGTTGGAATCCAAGTTTCATGGTCGGAAACATAGACATCGTTTTACCTCTCTTTCAAACAATAATGTCATTCGTGATTCTTGAAAATTTAAAACTAACATGCATCTTCTCTCTCTCTATATATATATATATGTATGATGTATGTATGAATGACTCTATGATAGAATAAGATTTTCTAAGCTACATGATGGTCTGTGGGTTAGGAATATTGTGTAACTTCTTTCAAATTATATGCCTAAGAGAAACTATGGTGGTATTTATGTGGTGGAGACTTTCAAATGAGTTGGTGGTTAGGAATATTGTGTAACTTCTTTCAAATTATATGCCTAAGAGAAACTATGGTGGTATTTATGTGGTGGAGACTTTCAAATGAGTTGGTGGTTGTGGGTTAGGAATATTGTATAACTTCTTTCAAATTATATGCCTTAGAGAAACTATGGTGGTATTTATGTGTTTTCAAGAGATGTTGGACCAATTCTTAAGGAATGATGTTATGGTGGTATTTATGTGTTTTCAAGAGAGGTCGGAGAAAACCTATATGGGGTGATGCTCAAGTCTTGATTACCCCAAGTTAAGTAATATGACAAATTTTGTAGCATAACAATACTCAATTTAGAAGGGGAATTTACAGAGGGAGATACCTCTATTTATAAGTTTAGGTAACTCTAAAATTTTTTCGAATTATAGAACAAAAACTCTAATACTCGAACTTGGAGACCAAGGTAAAATCTTCTTTCGTTAGGAGGATGACATATAGACACATGGTAAAAGCATAAGTTTCACAAAAAGAGAGCAACTTAGAGACCACCCTAGTTAAGGGTCCATAAACTTCTAGAAGGTTTACTTCTAAGCTAGATTTTTACTCTAAACTCATATGTCTCCATAGGACCCATCTTTTCTAGGCCCAAAATCCTACACTATAACCTGAGGCTTAAATACTAGGTCCAAGAAAAAGGCTAGAGTACTTGACTCATTATACAAGGCCTAAAATAAACATAATTTACTAAGAACTCACTTATGGCTCATGATGATAAGAGCTTGAGCCCACCTTTTACAGATGACTTCAATTATTCTTGAGTATACTTGGTCATGGCTAGGAGTTATGTTATCAATGTCTACTTTGAATTCAGAAAGAGAACCATTATCTTATAGTGAGATAATTGTTTTTCTGTTGTCACGATGGGCAACATCTTCTCTATAATAAAGAATATTGATACCCTAAGTAACTTGTGTGTAGCTATTCTTTAAAGCTTGTCACTTCTATTTTTCATTATTATGTCCTTATTTGCCATAAATAAATAAACAATTAACATTTCTTGAAACATTATGAAGTTAGTGCTTTTATTTTGTTAAACATTATAAAAAGTAAGAAATATTTTAAAAAAGAAACTATTAAATGTAATCAAAACTATATGTGATTAATCTTCCTTGTGTAGAAAATACACTTAGGATACTGTATTTATAATAAAGGAAATATAGGTTAAGCTCAAAATACAAATAAAGTAAGTGATGATAAAAGATAAGGATAAGATATCTATCTAAGACATCTAATAATCTAATATATCTAACACTTTTCTTCAACCTAATGCATAAGTTGATGCATACAAGTTGTATGTATCAAGCTTGTTACAAATATAATCAATCATCTATCCTCACAAAAACTTAGTGAAAATACTTACTAATTGATCATTTGAGTTAATGCACTCAATCTGATATCACTAAATACAATCTTCTCTTAAATGAAAGAACAATCAATCTTAATGTGTTTGGTCCTCTCATGAAAAACAAGATTAAAACTAATATGAAGAGCAATCTAATTGTTGCATATAAGTGTCATTTGAGAGATACCTTTAAATGTAATTTTCTAACAATTGTTTAAGCCAAACACGTTCAAAAGTGATTGAGGCCATATCTTCCAACAACACTTTATTTCTTGCTTTTCCAAGAGATTAAGTTATCATAAATGGAGACACAATATCTTGATGTAGACCTTTTATCAAAAGGAAATCTTGCCCAATCAACATCTGAATAATAAATAACTCTTGTATGGTTATTGTAACCATATATCAATCTTTTTCCAGGAGCTCCTTTAATGTACCTTAATTTAAAAATGATTGCATCCAATGATCTTCACAAAGGGAATTAAGAAATTGGCTTACCACACTGATTGCAAAACAAGATGAATAATTGTAAGATAATTTAATTTTCCAACTAGTCTTTTATAATGCTCAGAATATGACATAGACTCTCTTTGATTTGGTAGAAGTTTAGTATTAGGATCCATAGGTGTGTCAACAAATTTTGAATTCATCAACCTAGTTCCCTCCAAAATATCCAATACATACTTTCTTTGAGATATAACAATATCATTGGTGGATTATTGATGGTTCTTTTGCACTCCTGGCAAAATTGATTAATTCCAAGACTTTGTTTTGAGTCATTTTATTCCATATTTGCATTTGGATAAAAAGAATGAACAACACCAGACATAGATCAATTAACTAGAAATCACTTAGTCGTGGACATGCAAATGAAATTACTCTATTCTTCACACATGAGTTGACCTTTTTCAATTCCCAAGAAAATAAAATAAGAAAGATAACACTCAAGTCAATATGTATCTATTCCTCTCCAACTCTCTCAAGTGTTTTTGGCTTGTGTTTACACTCAAAATACCCATGTAAGTAGACACCCTTGATATTAACAAGACTCTATCATTCACATACTTCAGAAAACATGCAATTATTGATCATGAGTGCTTTTTAAAGGTTGTATTAAGGCCAAGGCAAAGGTAGGAAATTTTCTTGGAATTTCTGAGCTTTTGAAATTGATATAGAAAGAGTAATGATACTTGATTTCAAAAACAAATCTATTTCTTTCTCTTTTAAGGAAGATTTACTTTTCTTTCTTCTTCTTTTCTTCTCTTTTTTTTTAAACTCCAACTTTTCATCTTCCTTTTTTTCCTTTTTTATTATTTTATGGGTGAGGTACT